GTCACGAAAAAAAACTGCATGATATTCAGCGAATTCCAGGTATCTTGTTACCTTTACTAATAATATATATAAATGGCGAGTATTTTATGGCTACACTAATTAACTTTGAAGGAAAATTTACAGAATCGAGTATAACAGATCCAAAAGTTATTCTTGATAATGCTAGAATAGTCCATTATTCGGATTTTGGGTCTATAATTTCAGAATTAAACTTCACACTCGAGTTATTACCCCTCTATATTCATCTTTCCTCAATCCAATGGAAACTCTCTTTTTATTTCCATCATCTATGTAATCCTTTTGATTTCACACAAAACTTAAAAAACAAACAAGAACACACCCTTCCTTTTAAAGTTCTTATCACATCCTTCCTTTTAAAGTTCTTATCACATCCTTCCTTTTAAAGTTCTTTGAGTGAGTAACAATTCGTCCACTTCTGGTTGTCTTTACTGGCGCAACAAGTTCTCTAGACGTTGGTTTTTAATATGTCTATTTCGTTTGTTCCAACAGTTTGCAGTTTATTGTCTTCATCGGTATCATAGTACCCAGAGATGTCTTCATCGAAACCCCATATTAAAAAAGCGTTGATTTCTTATGTATGTTTTTCCATCGTTTGTCTTTATGATGTAAGATCTGCGTGCTGAATGTTTTTTTTTATGACAACTGCTTTCTGCCATGTTTGACTTAGACGAACTCTCTTCCGACAGAATAATCTTTAGGCAGTCTTGCTTTTGCATTGTATTTCACTTTGCTTTTCACCTGTCGTTCGTTTAGTATTGTCTCTGCATTTTCAGCTACCGATGGTTTCAATAGTTTGGGATCAGTTGGAATGATTCCCTGAGTCTTCTACTCGTCAGCAGTTGTGATGGTGAATACGGCAGTCCGCTTATCGGAGTATTTTTATACTCGAGCATAACGAGATATGGATCTTTCCCACTTTTGTACGCTTTGAATTCTTCTGCTTTCGCACAAAACAAAAACAACCAACAATGACGTAATATCATATAATATTAGCACAGAATCTTCTTCATGCCGTGGAAAATTAAGAGTTTTTTTTGCTTATCTCGAAATCTGGTCAAAGCTCCTGCGCCCAATTAATATAGTTCAGAAGAAACTACAAAATTCTGGACTGCATATACTGGAAGCTGCTGAAGAAATTAGTACCCTTTCATGCTTTCTGCAAAATGATGAGAAACTGACAAAAAACCAATCCATCGAAAAAGCAAAAGAAGGTAGTGAATACTATGGATTACCTGTAATCAAAACAACCAGAAGAAAAAAAAAGACTTGATGGGAAGTTGAGCTCTAATGTAGGACTGTCAATAGAACTACAATTCAAACGTGTTGCGACAGATGTGCTGGACAGAATTCATATGGAGATGAAGGGCAGATTCCAAAGGCTGGAAAGAAAATGGATACCTTTGGGTTTCTTCTTAAAACCAAGCACTAGCGGATCCAGAACTTTGGAGTGGGGGGGCGATTTTTTTTTAAACCCTAACCCTATCGCCAAGTAATCCTTAACCTTATGCATAAACGTGCGTACAGCATATACATACATACATATATATATAAGAATACAAAAAAAGTAGTGTTTCTCAACCTTCGGCGAAAAAAAAAAACAGTCATGTTGAGGCCTTTCTCTTGCAAGCTTGGGGGTCTAGGGGAACGCTGTATGCTTTTCCAGTGAGGTTCGGGGCAAAGCCCCGCCGCCAAAATCGTTTTCTTGCATTCTTCACTGAAGAAAAGTATTCTCCTGACATCTTCAGCATATTATTAGTCAATGGAGTTCGGGGCGAAAGGGCAAAAGAGGTATTCGCCCCCCCCCCCCCCCAAATCGGTCAACAGGGGAACGACATAATATAAAGATCGGTTAAAATATCAATAACAAGTTTTAATCATATAGATATTTAATTGATTCAGTTAGCAAGCTGTGATTTCTACAAAAAAATTGGACCGCCCCCCCCCCACTCAAAAGTTTATTGTGAGGGGGGGGGCGATTGATGCCATCACCCTCTCCCGACCCCACCAAATCGGCCAACATACTAGAGGGGGGGCGAAACAATATAAAAATATGTTAAAAATATAAATAATTAGTATATATTATTAACATAAGTAATAAATTCGTATACAAATTGTGTGAATTCTAATCTAAAATTCGTCCGCCCCCCCCCCTTCGGGAGGGGGGGTGTCGGCCGAATGGGAGTGGCAATCGCCCCACACATTTAGTCACGTCATAATATTGATAAAACAATGAAAAATACGTATCACGTGACAGCCTATATAGATTACTTAATTTGTTTATAAGATATATAGAATCACGTGGCTAAATGTTGTTTGTTTACGATTGGTGAATGAGGTCCATTCTTGAAAGAACTATCGTGTTCGGGAATTTCCGAATGTTAGGCATTATTGAGTCTTATTGACTTAAGACAGTAATAAATTAATACTAAGGAAAACTGCACACCCTCTTCTTAGCCTAGATCTTAAGCCCTATCATTGGATTATTATAAAGTCTAGTGCATCTATACAGTCGTTTAGGGATTCTTTCGCGGGGGATGTAGATGGGTAGAAAATGTTCCATTCATAAGTTATTAAGATAACCACATTCGTACCATTTGTCATTCACACCATACTGGGCTACGACCGTATAAACCACGAACAACCTTCTTTACTTTTCTCCTACAAATGTCAGGTACCAATTAGAGCTCTGTGGCCTCTGAGGCGTCCCAAAGATTCAAAACATTAAAAAATCCCAGCCTTCACCAGAATTCGAATCCAGAATCCCAGTTTTGAAAGCCAAGCACTTTACCTTTCAGCCAAATATCGTATCGTATATCGTTTGCTCAAGCCGAGTATCTTGCTCAGCACCTTTAGCACCGTCGGCGCGATGAACCAATACCGCTACAACATCTATTCATATATTATCTTATTCCATGAGCATAACCAGTTTTATTTTTAAATTTAGAAGAGGGGGGAGGGAATATTTTGCGAGGGAATGTTTTTTTTTTAACTCAAACACAGAAATTAAAGCACAATTATACAAACACACTTACACATATATTTCTCATGTGTTATCTTTCAGTACTTGCTTAAAATTATAATTAGTAAATGTAGATACAGAAAATGTTGCGGGCAGCCCCGACAGTGGACTGTTGTCTTGCTTAATAGGATATATCACCGTTTATTTTCCAATAGGTTTGTTGTAGACACTGCAATGTTCGTGGCTTGGACAGTTGATGTAGAATGAACAGAATGAGTGTCTTCCAGTTCTTTGTTGTTTACATACTCTAAAGAATCTTGGTCTGAAAATAATTAGTATCACTTATAGAAAATAAAAAGTTGCATTATTATCCTTAGATCAATGTGACTATAAAATATAAAGAACAGAAAACGTCTATATATCTTCTTCTTCCTAGTTCTCCTTATTATGTAGAAGCATTCAGATGACTAGACCAATATATGAAATGAACTGTTGGAGTGTTCAGATGACTAGACCAATATATGAAATGAACTGTTGGAGTGTTCAGATGACTAGACCAATATATGAAATGAACTGTTGGAGTGTTCAAATGACTAGACCAATATATGAAATGAACTGCGTAGTGGTTTCCAAATCAGGGAGTTCTCTTTATAGATTTGTATCGTCTGTATGAAAGTGTGTGTGTGTGTGTGTTTGTGAGGAGAAAATGACTTCCGCTTGAAATGTAGAGACTGTAGTTAATGGGAATAATAGCACAATTTTAAAACGACTAGATCTATGTGTACAAGTTGTCCATTATTCTAATTCTATTCTAAGTGTGGTCGAGAGGCTTAGTACGCTTGAACTTCACTTGTCTTGGCTACCTATGAAAGGGGCTCGAGGTTCGACACCCGACTAGAGAAAAGCTGTGTTTACTGAGCGCCTAAAGGCAGCACGGAAAACCTTCTTCCAGAAACCCCCCCCCCCCCCCAACTGGTCCACAAATAAGATTGGACCATAGCGCTCTGAGCATGCTATAAGCATGAAAGTAGCGCTATATAAAAGCTATAATAATTATTATTAAGGGCCTTTTTAAAAGTGGGATTGTGTGGTAAAGTGTATAATACTGCTCGTACTTTCTAGATCTAGATGTACTGACGAAATAACAAAAATGTAGTGCGTGGGACTAACTAACGAGCAGTGGGTGATGTTTCTCTTTGAATCAAAGCTTCCATAAATTATTTATCCGTATTTCTAGATATCGTGGAGCTCGGGTGCATGTTATATGCTAGGAATCAAGATAGTGCATCCTTTACTAGCGTTTCAATAGAGGGGTGAAAAATATCTAAGGCTGGTTCAAAACCCATGGTTGGGAATGACAAAGATCAGGGAAAAAACTATATGTGATCTCATTTTAATGCTAGCTTTTCCACTAAATGGGCGTTTTGTAGGGAAAAAAACGTGTTTATTTTGCTTGTTGCGGGGTGGGGTGTACACATGTGGGCTGACGAGAAGGCTACAACCAATGGGCCAAGCAAAAATTTTTTTTTTATTTATATACACACAGAGAGAGGAAACAAAGACACAGAATTGAGTAAAATAGATACATAGATAGATTCATTGGCCTCCTTCAGTCGTAGAACGACTATGGTTCATCTCCAACACTTTTTCATATGGATGTGGAGCCCTCTTTTGGAGAGACACCTCCGTCCACATACAATGCATGTCAAGGTGGCGTTCGCTTTGGTGGCACAGGGGCTGGCCATTTTCCGTATGGCACGCTTTTCTCTCCAATGTGCGGTCTAAGGCTACGTCTTCCCACTGGTCACTATCAATGTTCACTGATTTTAAACCCCGCTTTATCACATCCACGTAGATAGATAGATAGATAGATAGATAGATAGACAGACAGACAGACAGATACATACATACATACTTCCTGTAAAACTACATATTATTTTAACTACAACAGTAACAAGCACAGATATTTATACCAGCTTTGTGAGTTAAAGTTCCATTATCATTTTGTCTTTGTCCAGTGGCATTGCTCACTTTATTATCTCCCCTAAAAAAATGAGTGAGACGTTAGTAATGTATTAACTCAAATGTGACTATTACATTGTACTAAAGATTATGGTGTGCATGCTCTTAAGGGATCTAATTTAATAAAGCTTATATTGGTTCATTTAATTAATTTATATAACCATGTACGTTGTATTACCCATGAGTAGCGGATTTCGTATGATGTCTCAAACACATGACGATCACAGTTGTGACAGCTATAACAGCAATAAACCACCCGACAGCCCCAACAATTATAGTTATTTTGTTGTAATCTATGACCGCTAAAAAAAAAATAGAATTAGTACTCGTAATTTACAGCTGTTTCATTTGGCTACTAAAAGGTTTTTAAAATATTTACAACAAAAACAATCATATTAGGAAAACTTAAATTTGTTAATTACAAAAACTTTAATTTGTTAATAACAAAATTATTCAATTAGATAAAAATGGTTATGTTGAAATTAATACTCTTTTAATTTGTATTTCTATCTATACCAAAAACAAACTTCAAATCTTCAATGATATCACAATAATATTGGTCAAAGTTCAGGTGTATCTTATCTACTTGTATTCTCTTGGCTTCGTTAAAACAAATCCTTTTTTTTTCTGCAATGAATCTACACTCAATAGCTAATATATAATATGCCAGGATGGTTTGCTTGGTCGTGTGGTATGCCCGTTCGGACTTCTCTCGATGGTCAAGGGTTCATACCTACTGTGGTCATCCCACGTCGTCCTGTGGGAGGTTCGGACTAGGAAGTGAATTATCTTCAACTCTGAAGGAACATCCAAAACTAGTGAAACATTTTAAAGCAAAACATACATGGTGATTTGAAAATAGCATTTAGATTTAACTGAAATTAGAGCCACCTTTAAATAAAATAGACTTACTATCTTTGCAAATAGTTTCTTCATAAGTTAGGCACACACCACCATGGCAAGCTAATCCTTGCAGACATGTTTCAAAAAAGTTGCATGAGTCTCCATGTGCCACTAGATTTGAAATATGAATAGCTTACATAGTTTACATGTAAAAAAAAAAGGGAAGGTGGTCGGGTAGGTGGATAAAAGAAGGCGGAACCTGTCCGTTGATCTCTAAAAACGATCTATTCTTCTACAACTGTATCAATTGATAAATATCTCTGGGGAAAAAAATGACTAGCTCTTTGGCCACATGGGGAAAACTGTTAACATTTTTCAACTAAACAAAAAAAAAAAAAGAAATACATTAAACTTCGGCTAGAGATCTAGACCTACTTCTAGATCCAACATTTAAAAATTAAATGCTCGATCCATTCATTATTTCATTATGTTTGTGATTTAAAAAAAAAAGCTTAAATTACTTAGTACTAAAATGTTTTTTTTCTTCATAAATTTAAACAAATATTTTTTCAATAGCAGCTTTTATTTCCAACTCATCCAGTACACTGTGATGCCATGTTGTTTTTTTTTCGCTAACCTTTCTCTTGTGCACTCGTGGCTCTAATCAAAAGTATGTCTAACCGAGACCATAGTTATAGAAGGCCTAAACACTGACCTGCAACGTTGCAACCTGAAAGGCAGTGGAGACCAATATCTCGTTGCGACGTTGAACAGACTAGTGACGTGGCAACAGACTATTGGTTTAAGCTGCCCACACGTTGCGAGGATGGAGATCAGTGTTCAGGCTTCTATCGCCATTGGTATCAGTCTCACTGTTGTTGGTATCATTTCTTAATGTGTGACCAGTTTATTTCCGTAGAGAAAAAGTCTCTAATAGTGAAAGACGCAAGGAGATTAAAAAGAGCAACACTGGAAGCAATAAAAATAGAGGGTGACGTTATCCCTTCCAGTGTTCAGGTGTTGTTCTCGCGAGTACGCTATTCTGCCTCAACGTGGCGCTCGTGTGGAAACGACAATTAGAGGAAGTGGTTAGGCTAAATGAATAGCAAAACAAAACTCCCGTGGGAGTGTCCAAGGGTAGGCGAGAGTGGACCCATTGCACGGAGCGGAGTTGAAAGAGAGCTCCCACGGTCCAGTCGATAATCCGTGCGCCGTTCCTCAAGGGACCGTTACATTATGGCGAGTCCTGCACGGTTAGCTTGGTACAACATAGCGAAATGACGGAGGTTCCTGGTATACTCGGCCTTCGGCCATGCTTTCTAGCCCAAGCGCCCGGAATGCCAGATATATCGGAAATAGCAATGCTTAACATAGGCTTTGACTTGGATCTCTGTCAGACAGAAATGTTCAAACAGGTTTTTTTTTTTCTGTTTAATCAGGTGGTTGTTTTTCAAACATACAGCTCGAAGAGCCTTCGGCTCAGCTCTTAGACAATCACACGGTAATGTTCTCTAGCATCTAGAGCAAGGTCAGCTTTAAGTACTGTTTCAGAAAGGTCTAACGTTGCAAATGGCCTTGACTTCCGCAGGCGTAAGTCTGCAGGCTGGATGTGCATAGCTTTGCTTGTAGGATCACTGAACTCAAGCTCGCATGCTCACTATACTCTATGTATAATTTTGTTTAAGTAGAATGTAACATATAGCTTCACTAAAATTGAAACAAAAATTATTATATACTTTTTTTTTTAAATAAAACTTTTCTTGAGTTCAAAAGCATCAATTATTTTGGTAATTTTTTTAAAAACAGATCTAGATAAACAATAAAATTTTGTGAGATTGGAAATATTTGTCTTTTTTTTTTGCTTAGCGCAACTGTCATGCTAATAGCAATCTCATTGCGCTATGGTCCTATAATTTTTGTTGACCCTTTGGGGTAGAGGGGCATGTGGAAGAAGGTTTCCGTGCTGCTCTTTCAATGGCTATGTAAAATGTTGCTTGAATCCGAATTCAAACTCGAGGTTTTGAGTCTCCACGATGGTAGTCCAAAGTATTGACCACTAAAATAATTTTATTGTAAAAACAAAACTATAGTTTAAAAGTTTTAGCGAGGGATCAAATTCTTAAGATAGAAATTATTTTCCCTTAGTGTAATACCTATCGCTATAAGTAAAAAAAAACAAAAAAACAGCTAATTGATTAACTAATTGATGGCTTCTTATCTTATCTTATATAATACAGACGTTACTTCAAAAAAGAAGATGATTACGTCCTACGCGTCATGCATTTAGTCATGCATATAATGAGAAATGAGAGACACTTTGTGTACATAATTCCACTCAGAAAAACAGCTAAGTTGATAAGGCTTTGTAAAAAGGCCCTATTCCACTTTCGTGGATATGTGTTGTAACAAATATGTACACTACACACATGCACAGATCTTAGTTTTATTCAGGGCTTTAATAAAGAGGATATGAGACTCTTAAACCCTCAGTTATATTGTGATGGGGAGAAATAATGATATAAAGTATCCATTACTTACCACCATATATTTTGTAGAATCCACTAAAACCTTGAGAGAAAAACGATAGGGTGAACTTCACCAGCATATAATTACTTGTAGAAGTATAAGACTTCAATGTACACTGATCTGTTAAATACTCTAACTCAGTCATATTCGTATACTGTCCATCGTATATATGTACATAGGCGTTTCTGAAACTTGTAATTCCTGCTGGGCTAGAGAAGAAAAAAAGTTTACATTAATTGCTGTATCACGTCTATCGTTTTTGCTACAGTGAATCAGTGAGAAACCTATTATGTTTCAATCAACTATCAATGAATGTTTATTTAGAGATTGTGTCATTTTATCAAGAGTGCAAGATTAAGATATACAAAAATAGAAGACTAATAGAATGGTTTAAAGATAGTCCTTTGCACTTGAGTGAGACTGGAATGGGTCTCCTATTCGTTGTTCAAGTCTGTCCTCAACGAAACTGTACTTCACTTCATCTACTAGTAACAAAAAAGTAGATCGAATTTATTACTAATCAAGTTTTTCTTTTGTTGGTAGTTTGGGTGGGGTGTGGTGGGAGGGGGCCTTAGGAAATTGTAATGTTAATTTACTGCAAAAGACAGTAATTTTTTTTTCTCTTTTTCTCTCCCTCTCTCTGTCCCTCCTACTGAATCGTCGTCTATTCCTCTTTCTCCATCTCTCATTCTTTCCTTTCTCTCCCTCCACACCACTTTCTCTCCCTCCACACCACTTTCTCTCTCTCCATACCACTCTTTCTTCCTCTATCCCTCTCTCATTACATCCCTCCCACTCCCCTCTGAATCTTTTTTCTCTCCTCTCAACATTTATCTCCCTCTCCACCTTCAACTCTCCCTTTCTGTTTATTTCTCCTCCCCTCCTTTTCTCTTTTATTCTTTTTTTCCATCTCGTACTGCAGTGTTTCCCAAACTGTATTGGCTAAGCCCTAGTGTTCCGGTAGCCCTGCAAAGGGGTTCCATTAACTACTGGAATAATTAACTGTTTTAACAATCTGAAAAAAAAAATGTTCCGATTAAGACTTAAAATGTGCGAAGTGTTCCGTTAAAGAAAAAAGTATGGGAAACACTGTCGTACAGAGTAACTAAGATTTTACCTTAATCTAATTAATTGACCAGGTTTAGCTGTTATAAGCAAAGTGTATTCTTTATAGTAGTCGAAGTCCATTGGATATCCCTGGCTAGCTATATACCCAGTTGGTTCAGTTAACACAGCAGAGTTATCTAGATAAAAAGTTGAGTTACTATTTAAATAAACATAGAAAAGTATTTCTGTTAGTATAATATAATAGTTAATAAAATAATTACTTCGCTGACTTCATTGTATTATGATTAAATTACCATAATTTACAAAACTGTTGGGATTATTAAAATTTTTTATTTCAGCAATAGCCTTCCTTTAAGTGGATTTGTACAATTAATAAAATTATAATTATAACTGTAAGACCTGCTAATAAACTCTCGCCACACCCACCATCACTTGTAATAAGATGACCATTTAGATCAGTGGCAAATTTAACTGCGATTCTAGAGGAGTCATATATGCCATAATATGCTTAAGATGTCAATTGATCTATATCGGAAACACAGGCATGACCTTAAAAACACGACTCCAAGAACATCTTAGAGTCATACTTAATTTTGCAATTCGAGCCCGTCTCTATTCATTACAATAACACACATCATAGGGGTACCACTGATCTCCTCGTCACTGCTATACAACAATGCAATGACAAAAGCACCAGTCTGCAAATCGAAAACAAAAAAAAAACTAATGAACATGTCAGCCTCCAACATCAGCTTATCAACTAC